ATTTATACAATGATGACCATGTAATTTTAGGTTTGATTGTACTTTTTATAAGTAAAAAGCACCGTCTGTTTATTGTTTGCCTGTAATTTAATAATTTAATTTAATCTAAATTAATGAATTCTTTCTAAATAGAGCTATTCAATTAATTATTGAAATCATTTTTATATCGCAAAATGTATCGCAGAAAAACAAAATATCGCAATGTCAGATTTTTTCATTATTGTGCAGCTCTAATTTAGTTACAAAAATTTATTATATCGAAAATTATATGCATATTGTATACAGAACTTTTAAAAAAATGCTAGAATTTGAAAAGGCTTTATTTATGGGTCACAGTGCAAGATCTTAATGATTTAAACTCAATTTTTTATCATCACTTATTAATTTCACTTATTTTAATAAATAATAATTCCCATATTTTAGTGAATGACAATGATATTGTTTTGTTATGATGAATGACAATGAAATAGTCAACATTTAAAGTGGATCAAAAATGTTTGATAAAAGTGTCCTAAGGCAAGAATAGCTTCTTCAATAGTTTAAGGACAACTTCAATGAAAGATCTACTTTGATCCACTTTAAATGTTGAGTACTGTATTGTTTTACCCACATTTTGACATTCAGATTCACACAGATACATGTCTCTTGCTGTAGCATATATATATATATATATATATATATATATATATATATGTGTGTGTGTGTGTGTGTGTGTGTGTGTGTATATATATATATGTATATGTGTGTGTGTGTATATATATATATATATATATATATATATATAAGTGTGTGTGTGTGTGTGTGTGTGTGTGTATATATATATATGTATATGTGTGTGTGTGTGTATATATATATATATATATATATATATATATATATGTGTGTGTGTGTGTGTGTGTGTGTGTGTATACATTTATTTTTTTATTACACGAATAAAGCTATTGTAAAGTCGACAAATAGTTAAACCTTACCCAGTTTTTTTTTTTGTTTGTTTGTTTATTTACTACTGTTTACTGTGTTTTTATTATATATGTATTTTCCTGTATTTTTATGTAAACTTTATAACTGCTTTGGCAATATATTTGTAACGTTTGCCTGCCAATAAAGCAATTATTAAATTGAATAGTTAACCCTGTTTCTGTGATTGTTTACGATCTAATGCATCTTGCAGAATCCTATATCTTATGTATTTCACTAACGTTACATATAGTACTTTATAAGGGACGTGTAACGTTAGCCAGCTGATGCTGAATGAGCAGTGTGTATGTGTGTGTTTGTTTATCAGCTGTGTTTGTTCTTGCCTCTGCGATCTTCTGTTTGAGCTGCTCGAGCTGTTCTCGCTCTCTTTCTCTCTTCTTCATGAGCTGCATCGCTCTCCCCGCTTCACTGGCCGCTCCTTTATACTGCGCCATTGCTGCTCTTTCACGGGACTCTCAGAAGATAAATAATAACGCAAAAATGCGGGTATCTCCTTGAGTTCAGTCAGTAAACAAACGCGAAACTTCTCGACTGAAGCAAGCGGTTGTAGATGTAATACGCAGTAGTGCTTCCTGTTGATGCACGAGTTCACCGCATTCCAAAATAAAAGTCTACACCAGACGTTTGTCTAAAAATGTTAAAATCGTTAGCCGATGAATAACAGTTATGATGCATAATACGCTTTGAATAATGACAATATTTGTAATAATGATAATATTTGAATAAAGATATGAATTTAGAATAGCTTACAGTTAAATGTTCAGAAACGTGTTGAAACAACAAGTCTCTTCTGCTATATATATATATATATATATATATATATATATATATATATATATATATATATATATATATATATATATATATATATATATAGAGAGAGAGAGAGAGAGAGAGAGAGAGAGAGAGAGAGAGAGACTAAATGTTTTCTTTTATAATAATTGCTAAAGGAACATGTGAGATTGCATACTGGTCCTGACAATACAGAAGATTTATTTACACGGAAAGCTATACTACATTTAAAAATAATTATTCTTTCTTTAATTGTATTGATGTCAATTAAATGCAACATATTTCCAATCTTTTGACATTTTTACCTATAAATGCATCGATAATTATACAGGCTTATTCTGGTACATCCAAATAAATCTTAAAATATGTTATCGTGTTACATTGTTAAACATGATCGGACTTTTAACTCACAAAAACCGGATCGAGTGACTCTGAAATCGATTGTCAGCCTTGGATTGAGTGAGGGATGATTTGGATGGAGATGAAGACGTTGGTGTCCTGTGTCGGGTTTTTGCTTTTATTTGTGTGGCTTTCTCCAAGCCAGGCCCTATATTTCCACATCGGGGAGACTGAAAAGAAATGTTTTATAGAAGAAATACCCGACGAGACCATGGTTATCGGTACGTCCATTGTCAAATCTTCTCTCGGTGATCGGTTAGCTTTGTCGGTTAGCTGATTCATCCATCTGGATTTATTAGTAGAATTATTCCCTGTTCGTCACATTTAACAGCCTAAGCATGAGGACAGTTGATGTAAAATCAGATATGAGGTCTGTATGTATATTTATGCCATATGTCTGCCAAAATAAAGAGGCTGTCTGTCAGTAGATCAGCGCGTTCAAGGATGTGGCAGGTGCAGCATCCGGCTCGGGGTACCTGACGTACAGGTACAACCAGTTTCTGTAGCCACAACCCAAATCGTTTGTTGATAGTAATCAGAAAATACAGTTATTATCCCACATGATAAAAATAATACTATAGTAATTTATTTATGCTATATTAAATACTATAGGCTGTACCAAAGTGCTTGAATTAACGTAATCAGTTGTAGTTATTATATATATATTTAGATGTTAAGGTAATATAACTAATATAGTAATATAAACAGATTAAGTTTTCCACAAGTAGTTATGTTATACTACAATATACCACAGTTTAATGAATAAAAACTAAAGTATGCTACGATTCAGTTTAACAGTTCATGCTTATTAAAGTAGAACTAATAATAATAATAATAAAGAGTTGTGATGTGAATGCTTTAAAACAGTATAATACATTTTATTATCGTATGGTTTAAAGACACCATAGCATTTACTATATATTACTACAGTATTTTTTTCCTGAAGTATGACAATAATCCGGCGGCTTGATTTCGTCACAGAATAGAAGAATAAATAGTGAAAACATTCAGAATAAAATTGTTTCCAGAGAAAAGAAACTGAGCTTTAAAATTTAAACTCAGAATTGCTATATATATATATATATATATATATATGTGTGTGTGTGTGTGTGTGTGTGTGTGTGTGTGTGTGTGTGTGTATAGCAATTCTGAGTTTAAATTTTTAAGCTCAGTTATATAAACATTTGTAGTCACAATTATTAGCCCCCCTTAATTTAATTTTTTTTCCCCTAACTAGGCAGGTTAGGGAAATTAGGCAAGTCATTGTATAATGATTGGTAGTTCTGTAGACTCGGAAAAAAAGGGCTAATAATATTGTCCTTAAATAGTTTATAAAAAATTTAAACTGCTTTTATTCTTGCCGAAATGAAAGAAATAAGACTTTCTCCAGAAGAAAAAATATTATCAGACATACTGTGAAAGCTTCTTTGCTCTGTTAAACATTGTTTGGGAAAAAAAAAAATCGAAGGAGGGCTAATAATTCTGACTTCAACTATACATCTATGAGATATGTGAGATATGCACTTGGAATTCAGATAAATTTTGTCAGACTTATGAGATAAAATTAGCATAGACAAAAAAAAAAAAACATTTGTGCGAAATATAGTAAGAATTGTGAGATATAAGCTTGAATTCTAAGACTTTTCTCTACAGTTGTGAGATATAAACTGAATATTACAAGAATTATTGTCAGAATTGCAGCATCTAATCTCAGAATTCTGAGATTTAAAAAAAATATATGAATTTCGAGAAAACTAAGACTTCAGAAACTTTCAGGCAATTTTTACTTTTTCTCTTTGTTTTCTTAATATCCTACAGTACTTCTATTCTCAGATTTTGGAGAGAAAAGTCAGAATAATAAGACATAATCTCAGAAATATAGGTAGACAAAGCAGAATTAAGATTTAAAAAGTGCAATTATTTTTACACCCCAGTGTCATTACTGTATATTGAAATATTAATAATTGCTAAAAATATTCTGGGTGGCGCAGTAGGTAGTGCTGGCACCTCACAGCAAGAAAGTCGCTGGTTCGAGCCTTGGCTGGGTCAGTTGGCATTTCTGTGTGGAGTTTGCATGTTCTCCCCATGTTGGCGTGGGTTTCCCCCACAGTCCAAGCACATGCGGTATAGGTGAATTGGTTAGGCTAAATTGGCCGTACTGCATGTGTGTGAATGAGCATGTATGGGTGTTTTCCAGTAATGAGCTGTAGCTGGAAGGGCATCTGCTGCGTAAAACATATGCTGGATAAGTTGGCGGTTCATTCCACTGTGGCAACCCCAGATAAATTAGGAGAATAAGCCAAAAAGAAAATTAATTAATGAAAAATTATCTGATCCTGTTTGTTAAAGGAATACTCACATTCCACGTTGTGTTTGATTTGTTTAGGGAGATACAGAACTCAACTGTGGGACAAGCAGGCTGGCTCTTTTCTCCCATCCACCCCAGGTTTAGGCATGCATGTGGAAATCAAAGATCCTGAAACCAAGGTAGCCTATTTTATACTCCACTGTCCATAAACGATATGATACATGTTTGCTTGGTACAGGGTTTCTGCAGGTTTCACCATGTCAAATTGAAGACTTTTTTAGACCATTATGGATAAAATTTTAGACTTACAATTGAGTTTTTGAGATGTTAGGCCCAGAATTAAGATACCCTGTTGGTAACAATAGCTACATTTGCCAGTATATTGAAGTACAGGGTTCATACGGTCATGGAAAACCTGGAAAAGTCATAGAATTTTAACATGGCATTTTCCAGGCCTGGAAAAGTTTTGGAAAAACAGAAAAACCTACAAAGTTTTGAAAAAGTCATGAAAAACAGATGTCTGTATACTTGAATATAGGTTATTTACTTCTTTTCTGTCCTTGGCCAATCACATACTCTCACTCATCCACTTTTATACACATATACACTTATTTAACAACACACTTTCCATGACAACTTGCACTTAACAGCTGCACGTATAACATTGTATATAGTAATAAAGCTCTACATACACTTGTCTATTTGTATATTTGCATTCACTACTTACTGCGTTTTCATATATTTATTATTTGTGTTTTTTTGGTCCTGTCTCTGTAATTCTGTTGCCCTGTAGAAGCTCTGCCACGAAAACAAATTCCTCGTATGTGCGAACACACCTGGCAATAAATCTGATTCACATTTTTAGTGCGGTGTAAGCATTATCTAAATCAGTTTTCATAGATTTAAATATAAATTGAAACTAAATAGATTGTTGTGCGTGTTTTACGATATGCTGTAATAAATTTGAACAGTCATTGTTTTTCTTTTACCTCGCGTATGTAGACATTGCATGAAACATTAGGTCATGAAAATTTACTTGAAAGTCTTGGAAAAATCATGGAAAAGTCATGGAGTTTAAGTAGTAAAAATGTGCAAGAACCCTGAGGTAGTTTTTGCTTTGTTTTTATTTCAGGTTATCCTGTCCCGTCAGTATGGCTCTGATGGTCGTTTTACCTTCACCTCACACACACCAGGAGAGCATCAAATCTGCCTCCACTCCAACTCCACCAAGATGGCACTGTTTGCAGGTGGAAAACTGGTACGACTGTAAAAACCATGACAGAGCAGAAGAATATAGAGAGAAGTCTTAATGCTTATTTCGCATCTCAAATAAAGACATAAAATATGACAAATACAGTGCAGCATAATAGGTTACTGTTTTATCATTAAAAAAGTTCAGAGTAATTTTACCACTTTGAGTTTTATTATTTCAGTTACAGTCTTAATTATTTTTATGTTATTCCTTCATCTTCTGTTTTCTGTCCATTTAAACTCACTATTACAAATAGTTCCAGTTTAGTTCTATGAAGAATTACAGTTGAAGTCAAAATGATTAGCCCTCTTGTGATTGATTTTTTTCCAATATTTCCCAAATAATCTTAAACAGAGCGAGGAAATTTTCACAGTATTTCCTATAATATTTTTTCTTCTGGAGAAATTCTTATGTGTTTTATTTCGGCTAGAATAAAAGCAGTTTTTAATTTTTTAAAAAACATTTTAAGGTCAAAATTATTAGCCCCTGCTCAACCAAACAGACCATATTTTGACTGTTTGAAATAATGGTTTACACACGTAGCATTATTGGTTTACAAAAAAAATAAATAAATCAATAAATCAAACAAAATAATCCTGTTGCACTACTACACTAGATTTTGGTTTTATTGTAAAAAAACAACAACAACAAAAAGCATGTTAAATGAAAATCTGAAATATTTTATGGCTAATTTCAATGAACAAAGATGGTTTAGTGATCAAAAATGTCTTATTTTGATTATGCTGTTAAATAAATTTTTAGATTTTCCATAGAATATGTATTAATTCCGGCACTTTTATTAAAGGCTGATGTTTTCGAAATTATGGAGTGCAATGAAAACAATTAATTGAGTTTGTTAACTAGTAACATTAGGAGTTTAGAAATGCAATGCAAAAATTGTTTTCTTGGTGGGGTAGTTAAAGGGTTAAGCAGTATATATATATTTTTTTTTAAATGACTTGGCTAATTAACATAAATAACCCAAGTTAAGCCTTTAAAGCCTATAAATAGCACTTTAAGCTGAATACAAATATATAGAAGAATATCCAGTGAAATATTACGTACCTTCATCATGACAAAGATAAATGAGTTATTAAAACTATTATGTTTAGAAATGTGTTTAAACGATCTTCTCAACGTTAAACAGAAATTGGGGGAACATATACATACAGGGGGGTGAATAATTCAGGAGGGATAATATTTCTGACTTCAACTGAATGTTAGCAATATCGGTCAGGTATTAGTATAGCGATTTTTAGATTTCAGTTTTAATGGAGTATAATTAAAACCCTGTGCTTTCAGAGAGTCCACTTGGACATTCAGGTTGGTGAACACACCAACAACTACCCAGAGATCGCAGCCAAAGACAAACTGACGGAGCTGCAGCTGAGGGTCCGACAGCTCCTGGACCAGGTGGAGCAGATCCAGAAAGAGCAGAACTACCAACGGGTGAGTCTTAAAGGGACAGTTCACTCAAAACTGACAATAATGTCATCATTTACTCACACTTTACTTGTTTCAAACCAGTTTCACTTTCTTTCTTCCCTTCTTTTTTTTGTTGAACACAAAAGAAGATATTTGGAAAAATGCTGGAAAGCTGTAACCATTGATTTCCATGGTATATGTTTTTCCTACAGTGGATGATTTCAGCTTTCTTAAACATATCATCTTTATGTTCAGCAGAATAAAGGAACTCATAAAGGTTTGAAACCACTTGAGGGAAAGTAAATGTGTAGGTTTTCATGCCTGAGTGAACCGTCCCTCTAACAGAGTAAACTAATTCCAGATAACATTGGGTACACTGAGGACGTCTTAAATCAGATTAACATACATCAGCACACTAGCTCAATAATTAAAAGTGCCATGCAATGCTAAAATTCTTCATTTTGTTAAGGATATCTCCTAAAAAAAAAAGATGTATCCAAGCTCAAAAAACATGTAAAATATGAAATTCTCTAAATATATACTGTATTACAGCGCCTAAAACAGTTTGTTCAATTGTCCACTGTTTCTGAGCTGTTTCCTTTGCGTTTAGCAGAATAAAGAAACTCAATAAGGTTCGGGACAAGACAACTGCCCACAGCATGATGACAATGACTTGAAATAGATTTTTTAGCTAGTATCATTTTCTGATTTCTGCATACTTTGGAGACATAACTATAAGAATTAGTGCCGCAAGTTAATTTAATGCATTTAATGCATATAATTTTGCTGTAGCGTTGTAAAAATATAATTGATTTACATTCACGGCCATGTAAACAACTACATTAAACTGCTATTTTTCCCAGTTTATTCTTTTAAAGTCTGCGTAAATTGAAAGTTTTTGAAATTGAAACTTTTATTTGAGTGTGTTGACGAATTTTGAGTAGGGGGCCGGGCTTTCTTTTTGCACATCAGTCCCTCATAGCAAACTAACAGTAAGAGGGGTGTGGGTCGGAATATAGTGGCTGAAGCATCAATCTTACATCAGAGAAGATTTGCCAGTCCAAAAACAGAGAATGGTCACGCAAATAGTCAGAACTTGATTAAAGATTACCACAACAAACATTTTCATTCAGTGGAATCACTTGCATGGACTAATAGGGATATCACCTTATTCTCAGCTGTCGAGTGGGCGCTGCCATTTGAATCATTTTGTCTCGCGACTTCCGGTCACATTCACTTTCATTCATTTTTTGACGTTAACAACTACTTGTTACGCTGCTTGATGTTGCAATTTAATATTTTCTTATTATATTATGCTACTTGGTCTGTGTAGTCATGCAAACATTTGTTTGTTGAGCAAGTAGTTTGGCCATTTTCTGCCGTTTATTATTCCTAGTCATTTCTCCCATAGGCGACTGAATCGGAAGTTCTAAGACAATCGCGAAAACAGGTGCACTTCCGCATTTTAGAATAAGGTCAATATGCCGAAGCATGCTAATAGGACTTTTAATTTGCCAGTAACCTGGGTTAAGCGCTTCCGCTCAACTGTATGTAATGCAAAAATCAGCGCATTTAAGGTCAATTTTCTTTAAAAATCAGCGATCTTCACTGGCTGAGTGATATCCGATATTAAGTGGGTCTCCGATTGTACAAGAAGCACTGCATTAAACTACATTCACCCCGCCATGTCTTTATAATATGAGAATTTATTTTACTCCAGTATATTCAATGGAGCTTCTGCGCTAGCCAGCCAATTCTGATGGGCGCATGCAAGTAAACGGCTTTTTGTCTTGTTTTACGCTTGAACAACTAAATGAATGCCAACGTCTGTTAACTGAATGTATTTTAATTACATTATAACATCCATGCTGTAAAAGGATTTGTATAAAATGAAAAAAATTCACAATAACAGATCAACCGGAAGTTTACCAGTATGGGAAACACACTAGCTCGGCACATACCCTATTGCTCACCTAAATAAATAACAATGTGCGCCAGCAAAAAACAAAAAATTATTTTAATTAATTTTAACATTTTAATTTCACACGGACTATATATATATATATATATATATATATATATATATATATATATATATAGAGAGAGAGAGAGAGAGAGAGAGAGAGAGAGAGAGAGAGAGAGAGAGAGAGAGAGAGAGAGAGAGAGAGAGAGAGATGAAGTCAAAATTAGCCCCCCTGTCAATTTTTTCCCCCAATTAGTTTAAAGGAGATTTTTTCAACACATTTCTAAACATAAATTTTAATAACGCACATCTAATAACTAATTTATTCAATCTTTGCCATGATGACAGTAAATAATGTTTGACTAGATATTTTTCAAAACACTTCTATACAGCTTAAAGTCACATTTAAAGGCTTAACTTGGTTAATTAGGTTAACTAGGCAGGTTAGGGTAATTAGGCAAGTTATTGTATAATGATGGTTTGTTCTGCAGACTATCAGAGAAAAAAATAGCTTAAAAGGGCTAATAATTTTGACCTCAAAATGTTTATTTAAAAACTGTTAAAACTGCTTTTATTCTAGCCACAATTAAACAAATAAGACTTTCACCAGAAGAAAAATATTATCGGACATACTGTGAAAATTTCTTTGCTCTGTCAAACATCATTATAAATAAAAGGGGGTTTAATAATAATAATTTCAACTGTATCACATGGGCCATTAAAAGCCTGATGTATCAGCTGTAATAAATAAATCATTTTTATTTCAGATTTAATTGTTTAAGTGGAATTAAATGTTTGAAAATAAATAGTAAGACTCCACATGTTCAATGCACAAGAAGTATAGCAATGGATTCACTATGTGCAGCCTATATCAACTATGAATGAATCTGCAGAGTTCAGAAATTAAAAACCTCTTAATTTTGTGGCATTTACTTGATTTGGCTAAATCCTGGAGGGGCTGACAGAAGATTGTTTTTCCACAGTACCGTGAGGAGCGTTTCCGCATGACGAGCGAGAGCACGAACCAGCGTGTTTTGTGGTGGTCCATCGCTCAGACCGTCATCCTCATCATCACCGGCATCTGGCAAATGAAGCACCTCAAGAGCTTCTTTGAGGCCAAAAAGCTGGTGTGAAAAGCAGACAACAGAACAAAGACAATGACCCAAGTAACATTCATAATCGCTGTTTCGATTCTCAAGCATGGAAAAACTTCTCACTCCTTCATTTCAGTATTTTTTTTTTTTTAATTCAGTTCGGTCTAACTTCAGCTTGAGCAGGTACATTTAGAGTTAATGATACCTATTTATCATTAAAGAAACATAATCAGAAATGCTTCATGTCACGAATGTCGTTCAAGTGTTCATATAATGAAGTAGTATGATATAAAACAAATGTTAAACCTTTTCAGTGACGATCACTATGGGTGCATGGAAACTACTGTTGACTAACGGTCGCATTACCCATAAATGTGAAGAATCAAGCCAGCTAATCATTTCTCACTATTTTCAATATGTATATATTGAGGACTTTGACAAATCTGTGGCTTTGTTTATATGTTCTGGCCATTTTTTGGGATCAAAACACCCTCAGATTGGTTTCAGGTTGAGATTAAATTTAGGTTTTTGACAGGAAATGATTTAAGCTAATTGATTTTAGCGTACACTGTAGCTGTTTATCCACAATTTCGAGATTTTCTTAGTTTTTGACTTACAAGATTTGATTTTAGTTGTTTATCAATACATTAGAGATTTTCTTTGTGGTTTAGAAAATTGATGTTGTTCTTGATGTTTGGTTTGGTTTTCTATTTATTTTTCAGTGACATGACTTCGAATATTACTTCAATAGGTACATATGATGAGCAGGAACGTCTGCAATTTAATCAAAAAGGTTGTTTTGTTTTCGAGATTGTGACGTTTATAGGATCTTTGGAAATTTTTTGTACTGGCTTCTTACAAATACTGTTTATAAAACTGCTGGTTTGCATGACACTATGACAAAATCCTCCATGTAATGTGAAACGTTGAAGGTTATTTCTATGTTAATGCAGCTCTGTATTGATGGGTGTCATTTGAGCTTTGTAATAATAAACTATTTATGTGTGCACACTGTGCATGCACATACTTCACTACTTACTTGGTACTCAATACATTATACATATACAGTGGAAGAAATAAGTATATACAAGCACACTTCACCATTTTTCCCAGAAAACATATTTCTAAAGGTGCTGTTGACTTGAAAATTTCACTGTATTTTTGCAACAACCAACGAAATCCAAATAAAAAAACCTAACTGGTTTAGAAATAAGGTTTTGAGTAATAAAATAAAATGACGCAATGAATATGTATTGAACACATGAAGAAAGGCAGTGAAAGCCCAGACAGCAGCTGAAATCTCTCAGTAGTTCTTCAGCAACCCTCCGCCCTTCCTCAGTGTAAATTAATATTCACTGCTTCAGTCCAACATCTACATTATCAGGATGATGAAAATTAAACCAGGGTGGACATTTCAGCAAGACAATGATCTAAAACACAGCCAAGGAAACTCAAATGCTTTTAGCGAAAGAAAAATCAAGCTGTAGAATGGCCCAGCCAATCACCTGACTCGAATTTAATAGAGAATACAAATTCAGATTTGGTAGACGAGACCCACAGAACAATCAAGATTTTCCACTCTGCTGAAGTCTGTGAAAAACTCACACCTGAGCATTTCATGAGACTTCATTTTCCATATGAGAGGCATCTTTAAGCTGCCATCACCAAAAAGCCCTATATAATGTATAAAATAAGAAGTTCAGTACGTTCTCCTTATGTCAATTACAGCTATTACACAGAACTCATTTTTCAGATTTTTTTGTTTTGTTTTATTTTTATGTTTGTGTTGTTTGGATTGGACACAAGATTATTATTTCAAGTTTTTCTGGATTTAATAGCTTTGAGTAGAATGTTAAAATGTATTTATTCTGTAAAAGCTCAAATAAATTGTTATTCAGAGCTTTTTATTTAACAGAAAATGAAAATGTTTTAATTTATTGTGATTAAATATTTTAATCAAACATTGTTATCCCACCAAATACTCATTTAACAATCCTGAAGTTACATTACTGGTATTATGTCATCTAAAACTGAATACATAGCACTAATTTAGTTATTTTTTTAAATAAAAATGTTCGATTTTATGAGTAATTTAAAAAAATAAAACAAACTTTAAAGCAGGGGTCTCCAAACTCTGTCCTGGAGGGCCGGTGTCCTGCATAGTTTACCTCCAACTTCCATCAATGGAGCTTTCTGGAAGTTTCTAGTATGCCTAGAGCAGGGGTGCTCAATCCTGTTCCTGGAGATCTACCTTCCTGCAGATTTCAGTTGCTACCCATATCAAACACACCTGCCTGTAATTATCAAGTGGTGTTCAGGTCCTTATTAATTGGTTCAGGTGTGTTTGATATGGGTAGCAACTGAAATCTGCAGGAAGGTAGATCTCCAGGAACAGGATTGAGCACCCCTGCTCTAGAAAGAGCTTGATTAGCTGGTTCAGGTGTGTTTAATTGAGGTTGAAACTAAAATATGCAGGACATCTTCCCTCCAGGACTGAGTTTGGACACCCCTGCTCTGAACATTCTAAATCATAAATCCAGAAAAATAAATTTCCCATAACACACACCCACACACATACTTTTCAACCGCTGAATCTACAAGGCCAAAGAAACCTGTTTAATTTAATTTTTATTTTATTGCTCGACTCACCTAAATCAATGAAATATAATATGCATCTATCTATTGACAAAACAATACAAGATGTTATTTAACACACAAATTGAAAACAACAAAAAAAAAATGTTAATTTTGATTTTGGATCACAAATAGCAAACCCATTAGTTGGACACAACACTGCATTAATCCAAACTTAAAATATGAACGCCTCTAAACAAGCATCTAAGATCTCTCTCTTGCATAGTAAAAGGCCTCGGACCCTCAACTCCTCCAAAACACCAAACACCTGTTCATCTCTCTGCTAATGTTCATTGCATTTCTATGTTCTGTTCTCAAAGTCGGCACCAAATTTGATGCTAGTCATTTAAAGGACATGAAATACTACGCGTTACAACATCATCACACACACAAACGCACACACATCAGTCCTGAAACGTCTCATTGACGACAAGTGGATACTTAAAGGGATAGTTCACCCAAAAATGAACATTCTGTCATCATTTACTTGGTGTTGAACACAAAAGAAGATGTACTTGCGTATGTTGGACACCTGTAAACACTGACTTCCATAGTGTTTGTTTTTTTTCTACTGTGTTTGTCAGTGGTTTCATGTTTCTAACATTCTTCAGTATATCTTCTGTGTTAAACAGAACTAAAACTCAAACTGGTTTGGAACAAGTAAATGATGACAGGACTTTTTGGGTGAACTACCCCTTTACGCAACACTATATAAAATGTGCTATTTATATCATTTACATCACAGGTCTCAAACCCAGCTCTTAGAGGGCCGCAGCTCTGCACAGCTTAGTTCCAACCCTAATAAATCACTCCTGATCAAACGGAGTCCTTCAGGCTTGGTTGAAACCTGCAGGTAAGTGTGTTGAAGCAGGGTTGGAACTAAACTGTGCAGAGCTGCGGCCCTCCAGGATCTGAGTTTGACACCCCTGCTTTGCATGATTTCAAACTCAACAATAAGCACATACTATAAAATATACCTACACACTTCTAGGAACAAAACAGTACACCCTATAGTTTCACTTAAAGGTTCAAATGGGCCACAAGCGTCGTCTAATCCAAATGAAAATGACAGAAATGATACTTCACATCTACGATTGGCACAACGAAACGAAGCATGTGCTGACCCTGTATCTGTTAGAAAACAAAACCTTAGCAAATCCCACAAGTATTTTACACAGGGCTGGAGGACACTTCTGGAGATCTTTCGACAATAAAAACACCTTCAGGAAGCAAATTTAGTATTCCAGTTAATAAATTGCGCTTCTTTCTTGCCACAGAAGGTCGGTAGCGTTATTTAAGACTTATTAAAGGCCCTTGACTGGTGAATGGTGAGCCCAGTCATTGGGAAGAAACCCAAGAAGTCCCATTATTTGTTCAATTAACCTGCTTTTCCCCATCGTTCATTGCTCTGTGACGGTAAGCCGGTCCATTTTTCTAGCCGCTTCCTCACATACAACCTTTGGCTTTTTCTCCGGGCTGGGGCTTGGAGTGTTGGGATATTCGCGAGTGCCGAAAATGGTGCTGCCAACACGTATGTTGGTGGATCCAACCTCGATCTAATTGGAGAAACATTATTGATGGATTAGAGATCGACTTAGCACTGATATCAAGAATGAATTTTTATTATATATATAAGGGATATGAATATTTTTCAAAACAATTCGAGAAAGTGACCTACCGCATGTTCAAAGTCAGTAGACATGCCCATGCTGAGCTCAACCTGCTCCAATGGGATCTTCAGACTCTCGCAAACTTCAACACGACATTTTAACAGCAGCTAGATAAAAAACACATACACATTTCTTTAATGAATTTCATTTCATTTCAAAATCCTTTTAGCATGTTGCTAGTTTGTTTCAAGATGCCTTAAACTGACCCGATTAAACTGATTCTTTCCATTCATCTAAGAACATTTACATTTTTAGACGGCGAAACGTGTTTCTTTGGTATAATCTCACACATTACAATATCTGTATATTATAATGATTTCTGCGACACTAAAGACTGGGGTAATGATGCATGTGCTTATTTCTGAGCTATCAATCTAATACATGGGTCTCAAACTCAATTCCCGGAGGGCCTCAGTTTTGCTCCAACCCAAATCAAACAAAGCTGATCCAAATAATCAAGGTGTTCATGACTACTCGGTGAGTTGGAGGTGGTTGGAGATAAACAATGCAGAGCTGCGGCCCTCCAGGAGTTTTGGGACCATTGACTGCAGCTTCTCCACTATGGACGTCCAGTGTTCTCTGGCCTTCTGCACCTAGACTGCAGCTCTGCACATGAAGTTTGGCCAGAGGAGAAATAGTTGTGCCCAACTGAG